TTCTTCATTCACTTATCCAATTAGTGTAAAATATTCTACAATAAATCTACTCTTACAGTAAATTATTATAAAATGTTAGTAGAGATGTACAAAACAACAAATTTACAAAGTTCTTCGTTTCCACGAAATCGAAAATTCTCCATTTCCCCCATACTTGTAAACGAATACGTCCTTTATCTAATTTCAATCCGTTTAATACCAGTGTAATATTTATTAAGGTGCGTATCCACTTGTTGCGTGTCCTCGTATCGTATCACCGTAGTGTATCAATGTGGACAGGCAAGCGTTGCATCGTTGCGTATGAAAATGTATCGTATGGTGATACGATACAATGATACGCAACAGTGATACGATACGAAGATATGTAACAAATGGATACACAACTTTAGGCTATGAAATTAAAGATTATTCCATCGATTCACCACGAAGGACCACTGGCTCATTCAATCCGCATCCAACATTCCATCAACGTACCATAATAACCTCAAAAAACCAGATGTCTAGGTGGTCATGTAACAGGACTCCGTCAATTCCCCCGCGATGGCCATTACAAAAATTAATTTTCAAAGCGTGTTTCGTTACAAGCCCATCATTATCCTCACGGGCGTAATATCGCCGTGGAACAACCGTTGAAAAACGAACCGGATCTCCATTAACGAAATTTATTAGCGGGACATCTCTCGCGAGGTGGCAGCACCGAGCCTGACTGCAAAAGTCGCGTGACACGGGAGCCATTTTGTCAGGGCCACGACGAAAACTTTCGTTGACGGGACCGGAAAAAACTTGCTTCCCTCGTTAGGATCCATCCAGTAGCACCGACAGCGCACGTATACCTATATACAGGGTGTCCCAAAATATGGATATTCTTAATGCAAATCGAAAATTCTGCGAAAAGTATTATAGATCCCTGAAATGGGTTACTCGTGAAGTGATTTGGAACAAGTTTTTCCTTAAGAAAATGTTATCCGAAGTTTTGTTAACGAGATATTAACAAAAAAAATCCCGACCAATCAAAGAGCGAGTCTACCGTTTACGGGTTTTTCGTTAATATCTCGTTAACAAAACCTCGGATAACATTTTTTCTAAGGAAAAACTTGTTCCAAATCACCTCACGAGCGACCCATTGCAAGGACCTACAACACTTTTGTTACACCCAGTATATACAATATATTGTATATACGACTTCGTCTCGCCTTTGTCCTCCTCCTTTTCGTCGTTGGTTCGTCGTGAAGAGGCGCGGGGACACGCGTCCGTTAGCTGGAAACGCGACGTCTCGCCTCGTTCCCTTCTCGTTTTCACGGGGTTCTCGACGCGTGTCACCGGGCCGATAACGTGCACCGTGTTCGCCGTTTTACTTTTCGACGCGACAACCGTCGCCGGGAATTCGTTGCGTGTCCCACGGCTAGAAAAACTACCGCGACCATGGGCGTAGCAAGGGGCAGTTACTGATCCGGAGGGGAGTAATAGGGGCGATCCCCCCTCAAGGGTAATAAAATATAAAAATATTATGTCACTTATACTTCTAAAAAATTCTAAGGGTTCGACCCCCCTAAAGAAGGCTTCTGAATCCGCCACTAGCAAGAGGGCACTTGACCCTCTGTAGAGAGAAAAAAGTGACCTTTATCCTACCCTACACCACAGAAGAGGTATAGGAGTAGACATTTCATCCAATCACAGACGAGGTATAGGAGTAGACATTTCATCCAATGTATTTTTGCGACCCACTTTTCTGGGGTCATGTATCCCATTTCCGTTTTAGTGTTACTACCCACCGCAGATTCACCGTTCTCAGAACGTAGAGGTCGCTAAAATCATTGTTTAGTGTCACTACCCACCACAGATTCACCGTTCTCAAAATGTAGAGGTCGCTAAAATCATTGTTTAGTGTCACTACCCACCGCAGATTCACCGTTCTCAAAACGTAGAGGTCGCTAAAATGATTTTTAAGGTGTCGGTACTACAGTTTAGGTGGGCCACCAACTTCCATAAGATAAAAGGTATATTCTTATACTTCGTCAGTGCCTACACGAACAAAATTGGATTCTTTTCCTTTCATCGGAAACAGAAAACCCCCCCTCCAGAGAACATATTATATTAACTAATATTTTGTATGTAAAAATAAATCTAAAATCCATTTAAACTAATATTATGAAATTTAACTTGATATAAATTTTGCTTCCCCCTACATGACGCCTATGGCCACGATGAACGATCCGCGAACGGTTACCGAGGATAAATTCGATGGAAAAATGTTCGTCTGATCATTCAGTTCTTTTCCATTGGATGTTCGAGTATGACGGCTAAAATATCAGCGTTTGTCGCGCGAGCACACCTGTCCCTCAATTCGCGCCAGGTATACGCTCCGTGTAGTTTCCTTCGTGTTGCTGAAATTCGTGTAAATCAAGGCTGTCGGTGCAAACGGATCCTGTGTAAGGGAAAAGCTCGTGTCTTGTAAACATCTTTATTTTAGTATTTTTATTGCAGTAAATACAATGAAAAAATATAGTAGATCACAATGTTCACAGAACAATATAATATTTATTTAACCAAAATACGTGGCAAATCGTATATTGTATATTAAAATTAAGAAAGATTCATCACAGAAAGGTGGTAAAATTAAAGGAGATAATGACAATTATCTAAAAATTGCATAAAAGTGTATACTTAACCCTCAGAAAAATGACCCATGAAAAATGGAGCAGTGTTGTTTTTGGCCCACACCGAAATCTCGTCTAAATATTTCATCAAAATTCATAGCTTACGTTTCAGCGTAGACCTAAAATTTGGGTATGGAGTGACCCACGTTCATTATCCAATAATTTTTGTTATTTCAATTACAGATGAACATACATTTATGACCGTACAATTGGAATAATTATTTATCTGGTATAAAACTGAACTCAACATAGAACGATTCGGTTTGGATCGGGACCTCCCAAAAAAAAACGGACTCAGCGGAATATCGATCACGCGATGGTTAATTATCCGTGAATTCTCGGACGATCAATTATCCTCTTCTGTCAACGGAACTAGTTACAGAGCCATTATACTTTAATTATTATTTCTGTAACAAGACCTTTGTTCCGCGTGATTGCGATTTTCACGGAAATATAACAAGCATGCACGTCACGAACCGTAGAAGCTGCGTTTATCACCGATCATGTGTAATTCATGCTTGCAAACTGGTGTTCCGCAATTTCGCGAAACTTTCCACGGTTATCGGCACCGCGGCGCGCCGGTGAAACTGGTGAACTTACGATCGGACTTGCACACCGTCTCGAACCTTACATAGTGCCTTTACTCCCTCGTTCCCAATGATGAATAGATGTGCACCGAGGTCGGGCGGCTTTTTACGACGACGATTCTATTACTGGTATCGCGTTTTATAGTCATCCAGCAATCTTTTACCCTATAGTTATCCAGTGAACTTTTATCTTATAGTTATCCAGGTATCTTTTATCCTATGTCCTATAGTTATGTAGGAATTTATTATTTAATTTTCATACATAAACTTTTATCCTATAGTTATGTATATGTACACACAGGCATATTCGGGGGGTGGAACTTGTCACCGCCCAGAGGGAAAAGTGGCCTTTTTCTTACCTTAGGGGGGAAAAATACGATTTTGACTCCCACTCCCCTTTGAGGAGAAAAATAGTATTATACAATTTAACTTAAAATAAATTTTGCAATATAGCTTAGTATTCTATAATATATAGTGTATAAGAAATTAGAGGTTAACATAAATTCCGATAAAAGTATCTTTAGGAATTCAATAAATGTAAAATTAAAAATCTGGAATCAATAAGTTTCATAAATTAATGCATTAAAAGAAATGTTAATTTCATTAAACGAGTTTCATAAAATTTTATCGACTGTTTCAATGTGATATTATAGTATTTAGTGAATTGATGGAAAGAAATGAGAGAAACAAGTGTCGTTAAAAAATCATTAATCGATGCAAAACTAACACCGAATTCGTGATCAGAACTGTTGCACACGTGTACACGTAAAAAATGATATACATCGGGGATTTGCTCGCCATTATGGAGGAACGTGACTTTGATCGGGACACCATCGATACGGACTCCCTGGAGTTCGAGGTAAACGAGATTTCCGCTCTGATACGAAACAAAATAAAGTAGCCGTGTGTACTGAGTTTAGAAAAATCGTATTATCGATATGTTTGCAGATTTTAATGTCAAATTGTGAAATGAAAATCTGCTGATAATATTAAACTCCGAATTTTCGTTGAAGAGTGGACTTAAAAATGAAAATTTAATAGTTCACGTTATATTAGGTATACCAATAAACTACTATCTTTTGATGAATTAAGTATTTATTTTTTTAGGAAATTAAAAGCGGTTCTTTAATATTCGCCGTTATTTTTAAAACAGAAAAGAACAAGTTTAATGTGAGTTTAAAAAATTTTACTAGTTTATTAAAATAACATAGTGGAATATTTATTGGCACACCTAATATAGCGAAAGTAAATAAATATCTGATGTGATCTGCCAAGTCTATAATTTATAAAAATTATTGACCATAAGATATCCAAACTGCTACATGTCAGACTTTATATAATTATAATACATAAATCTGTCGAAAGTATAATAAATTAAAATCTGCAATTAAACTGAGTAAAGTCCTTACTTTATTATTAACTCACTAAAATTATTTAGAGAAGAAATGAAGTTCGGTTCAATTTCTGTTTCTGGAAAGTAACGTACGAAAAGTTCTAAGAGATACCAGCCACTAGTATTGATATTTTATCTTCCTTATAAATTCTATTAATAAAGACATCACATTTGTTCACAAATATTCTGAATAATAGAATTACAAGAGTATAAAAATCTCTTGAAAGATAAACTGAGCATAGTAATAAACCATAAAACATTCGACAAGAAAAATAGTGAGATCGTGGAACGATAATCAGTTTGTTGTATTAACTCAATTTTCATTTACCTTCGTTACGTTGAAAGCATTTCTTGTTATTGCAGGCAATACAATTGTCATCTTGCCCGAAGCAGCTGGATCTCAGCAACGGAGGTCTGTCACGAATTCCTGACAGCGCTATAGCGTTCCCCGCCATAGAGGAGCTGATATTAAGCCAAAATCAACTAACAAACGTCAACAACAATCTGGCGCTTCTGCACAGGTACAGTATTTATTTAAACTGAAACCAGAAATTCAAGTTAGAAATAAACTGTAGATTTTATGCACTGAATACACAAATTATTCGTTAATACAACAAACAAGAAAAGAATTTATAAAATTATAAATTGATTATAACAACAAGTAAAGAAAAATGCTATTCCGTTTAATAAAGGTGATATTCGTTCGATCTTCAATAATTCACACGATCTGATCTGCGAAATGGTAAAACTTTTAGCACCGAGTTCTTATCCAGTAAATCGTATTAAATTAACGACTTTAGATTTCTCAGCTTTTACAGACCCATTATCATTGACATTCCATAAATCACAGTTATTCCACTTGTTCGCGTTACCAGTTTATAAAATCGAGGATTTATGTGAAACGAATTTGAACGATTTGATAGTTCGTTAAAACCATAACCGTGTTAACTTGATTAAGTCTCCCGTTTCAACGAAGGTTCCCCAAACTTCATATCCTCCATCTGGAGAGCAACGAACTGAAGAGAATTCCGGTGGAATTACTGGAGCTCCGGGGGCTGACCTACCTCAATCTTTCAGACAACAAAATCGAGAAGATCCCAGCCGACATAATCCAGCTTATCAAGTATGTAAAGTCAATCTTATCGTATTTCGTTGAATGCAATCAATTTTCTTTACGTAAAAACATAAACTATAACGATACAGTATTTTCGTTGTCGAAATTCAAACCTGCCTATTGCTAAAAGACACAATCTTATGGGGAGAACACTGTATTTGGGCAGCAGTAATACATTTGCACGATAACAATGTAATTATAATTATAACTTGTTAAAAAATGAGTATTAAATTCAGATAACTATGTGTGATAGATGAATTAAGTACGGAACAAACTATTAAATATTTGCGGCCTTACGTCGAAGTAGACTAGACATCTTATTCTACTGCAATTATTATAGTGATTTACGGTATATTTGCTTAAAGTTTAACCACCACATTCGTAAATACTACCTCGATACTTCTCAAGTATTATAAATATATACCCAACTCAAGTTATAAAATTTAAAATTAAAGCACTTGGCAATAGATTGAATTTTGATTTCACTAGTGTTACCTAGCGGAGAATTTTGGAAGCTTTAGCGTTTGAGTATCTTCAATTGACAATAAGTGAAACACTATATCCATAATGGTAATGGAAAATAACGTCCAATTGGTTATTAACAATATTGCAAATTTGTCTAAGACGAGTCGTCTGTAGTTAAGGGTTAAATTATATGCTATTTATACAATTGCCTAAGTAAAGAATCTGGAACACTTTGGACCATAAAGAGTTAATTTAATGCCAAAGAACGGTTTTGGAGACGTAGAAAATTACTTATATGGGACAACATTATACTCGTTTACCACTCATTAATTCAACGACATAGTTAAATTGACATTCGATTGCTTTTAGATTATCAGATTTATTTCATTGGATCAAAGTGTAATTAATTTCATCATTCAAGTGAAACTTTCTTCTGAACAGTTCTTCGTGTAAATATAAACCCAGAAACGTTCGTTTTTCTGTTCATTCGATCGAAGTATAAATATAGATACAAACGAGAGTCTTTCTGTTGAATATTATACTGACGCGCCAAGCAATCGATTAAATGTCGGTCGATAGCATACGGAACGACCTCGACTACCGCTCGTATAAATTATTTAGACGATGAGAAATTGTGGACGGTGCTCGATTTGAGTAAACAATTCAGTCGTTACGAAGTTGGTAGTGTACAGTAGACTTTGATTGATAACAGATGGGTGTTATTGTTTAAGTAGTATATAAACGTCAACACCAGACAAAGCAGATTACTCCATACTCCACAAATGTTTGATTTACTCGATCCTATTGACAAAATTTTACGAGTTCTTTTAAAAGAAAAAACAATTTAAAACATTTAACATTTGTATTTCGAATTTTTCAGTTTAAACCATTTTTAGCCACTCAATTATCACAAGAAAATTTAACAAAAACTTCAACCGATTATCACGAAGTTCGAAGAAATTGATATTTTAACCGCAGTTTGAATAATTTAAAAACCTTTCTGGTAGAAATGTTTCAGTGCTAAGTTGATGAAGTTTATTCCTTATAATAGCATTTAATATTTTTTTTTCAAGTCGTTGAAAATAGAATTGATTTTGAAAGAAATGCTGATTCCCCGGAGCTATCAATAAATGCTGCAGAGTGTGAAAGAAACCATGAAATATGAGGTTTCCCGACGTTCGATTTGACGTGGAACATCTTGGCTGGAACACTGAAGGATATTTCTGGTCGGTGGAGAATGGTCTTGTAAAGAAATGTTTTCAATCGTCTAGGAAAATCAAAGTTTAAAATATTTCCTGCGTATTCCCGTTCTATTCTTAATGAAAGTACCAAGTATTAAAATATCTTCGCTCAAACTTTATTTAAACAACTACCTGTACTTCTTTGCTTTTGTAGAGTTTCTTTTATTTTGCGTTTCCTATACTTTATTCAAATAATAAATTACAATTAACTTACAATTATAATACAGTTAAAGACCATATGACATCAGAGTTAATAATTATAATTCCTAGATGACACGATCAATCTTAATACTAAAAAAAAAAACAAATATCCTCAAACGTTTTGCAATACAAAGCTTTCTGTTCGAAGTCGAATCGCTTCAAATTTACTGTGTAGTTCAACATACTGAACAGACTAACCCAATATTGCTTGTAAGAAAATATGTTTAACGATCCAATATTTGCTGGTTCAATAGAGCTAAAACCAATACACGTTTAAACGTGTGTCCAAGCTTTTATAATCATCCAGAAAACTAATAGCGACGATCTAAAGATCATGGTTAAGTATCCAGATATCTAAGGACACATTTCTGATTTCAGATTAGAATGTGATAACGCGAAAAGAAATCATTAACGTGCGATTATGATACTCGAACACAGCTCGTTCACTAATGCAACGAGATCCAGTTCACTTTCCAGAGTTAATCGGGGTTTATCGTGTCGCCGATCGGCCGATAAATCAGCGGGACTTACGGACAGCGATAATAGAAAGTTATCCGTTAATTAATCGAACGAACCGCCGAGTCAGATATATTATTTGCCGATTTCCTTGCATCCGCAACGCCCTTACCTAGTCGACGGTGTGCTAATTAAGATAAATTGCCTGACCCATGGATAATTGGCGCCGCCGCGGGGGATCGATATCGGGGAGTCGAATATCGCTTGGAAATTCATCGATCGGAAAGAGATCGATTTATGGACAGATGTCCGTGGAGAAATGTAATGATAGAACAAATTCTTTTTATGTTGGTTAATTTATTATTTCATCTTTGATACGATTAATTCGAACTGAAAAAGAACAAGAATTGTTACAAATCGAACTAAAAGGGATTAATTATTATTACCGTGCTTTTATTTCATTCTTGAACGATTCATTGATTATTACAGGATTTTTAATGAATTATATTTTATGGTGCAATACAGTTAAAAGGCAAATTAATTATTATATTAGCTTGCAATGATCTCTTTTCTTATGTATTTGTGATTTTAGGTTAGGTTTTCACCACGTTTCTATTTTTTTACTGTATTTTTTGCCTCAATAGTTAGAGGTTAGGTTTTCATAATTACAAAGTCCAAAATCTGTTGCAGGAAAGATAAAATTAGTTTTTTTTCAAATTCCATTTCGACTCAGAAATTTCAAGGAAACTAAATAACACAAAGGAACTAAGATAAGGGACAGATTTATTTTCGCACGATAAGTTGAGGACGCGCAAGTGTGTAACGACAGCACAACGTAGCTTCAAAACGAGCTTTATCTGTAACAGCTGTATTCAGAACGTAGTTGTACATGGAAAACGAAAGTTCACCTCTCAGTTATGCAAGGCTACAGCGAATCCGTGCAATTGCAAATCGCCAACACGAACGATAAGATTGCATTCACTTCCTGTAAGTAGAACCCACGCAATCGGTAACTGTATAAAACCATTGATTCTACGCGAGTGAAGTTCCAACCCAGGCACTTGCAAATGCAACTTTGAAAGTGAAACTAAAAACTTGTAAACAGTCTCCTACTTTTTAAGTGTTAAAATCACCATCCATTTCTATTTAGGTCCTTCCAGAGTGACAACCTTAACTCTATTTGCAATCCACTTAAATCAAATAAAAATTTGTAAGAGGTAGGTCCTATTCCAAAGGTGGATATATGCATGTACCCTCACAAACAAACTCGGCTTCCTCTGGGGGAAAAATTTATGTAAGAAAAAAACCTCCTACCACTTGGTATTGGGAATTATTAAAAACTATGCCAAATTATCATTCAATTAAACATTAATTTCATTACTTGAAATAAATTTACTAACTAATAGGAGGCCCTTTCCCAACATTATTTTTTTCCCTAGCAAAACCCGAGTTTGCACGTCAATATACACCCTTTATTGTTCTTCATTCCTTCCAAACGAAAACACCATATAACCTCTTCCTGGCCAGTGACACGCATATGTTCCACTTCGGTACTCACCGATCTTAATTCAACATCCACTGCAGACGAGACAAACATCGAATTTAAAAAAAAAAATAATTGGGTCGCAAGAAGGTTAATCAGGCCCGTGCAATTCAGACGTTGGTTACGTAAAGTTTCTCGAAAAATTGCTTTCCACCGCGGCGGAAACGAGGATCCCCAGAGAGGGAGGAACTACGGTATGAGCACGGGCCCGCCGATACACGGACAACGGTTGCGCATGGAAAGCACGCGTGCACGAATGGACCCTCTCCACGGAAAGGAAAGAAAACGCGAACGGAGGTCCGCCCATACATACACCTTGCGGCCGTAGAAGCCAACACAGGTCTCTGCCACTCACCCGATAGAACGGAGTTGGGCAACAGGGCCGAGTAGAAGTCGTGCGTCGGCGGGCAGTGGCGCAGAAACAACGGAAGAAGAGCCCAGCCGCGAATTAATGGCCTGGACTTTCCAATAATCGCGTGGCCCTTTCTATTCCGATCTCGGTTTCGATCGAAACTGGTAAATCGTGGTCTTTAACCGATTTTTCAACGAAACGAAGAGATTTTAGCCGGTTCGTCGTCTTCTGAACGTCTTTTAAACGTCTTCTGTCTTCTAAACCTTTTAACGTCCCTGTAACGTCTTTCGAATGTCGTCCAAATATCTACGTGGGACATAGAGAAGGGAAAGCAATTGACACTTGAGGATGTCCTATATCGGGTCTTTCCGGGGTGGTGAATAATTTAAATGTGAATATTCACTTGGACAATCAATTTATTGCTCAATATATTATAGTGTAATAGTAAAATTGTCCGAAATTTTGACGATGGATGTACGTGATTGCTTGATCTGATGGATAATCAACGAAATGCTGAAGATATGGCAGGAATTTCCATTCCAAAATGGCGGGAAAAATAATCAGTAGATTATTCAGTTCGTATCCAGGACGGAATAAATTAAATTTCCTGGTGTCCTTCGTTTATTAAACGAAACATATTTCATGTGTAACGTTAACACATACGTTTAGAATGCAACGTACGTATGGTACTAACAATAAATATTATCTTGCGAACAGACCACTTTCAGTAACCCAGCTGTGATACCGTCTT